GGGAGCCCGATGCAGGGCTCGATCCCAGGACCCTGGGATCATGACCTGAGCCGAAGGCAGACGCTCAACCACTGAGCCACCCAGGCGCCCCTAAAATCTACTTTAAAAAAAAAAAAAGATTTATTATTTTATTTTAGAGCAAGAGCGGGTGGCGGGGGGGGGACGGGCAGAGGGAGAGGGGAAAGAGAATCCCAAGCAGACTCCCTGAGCGCAGAGCCCTGCGATCACACCCGGAGCCAAAACCAAGAGTCAGACATTTAACTGACTATGCCGCCCAGGCGCCCCTCAAATGTACTTTTTAGAAAAGTGTTTTGAAGCACCAGTTTCTATTTTTCCCCCAGCTTTATTGCAATGTAATTGACAGGGCTCCTTTCTGTTTTTTCCTCCCACAAAAGCAGACATACTGTAACACAGGAGCACAAACAATACAACCCTGTTATCTAATAATGCTGGGAGTCTGAAGTCCAAACATGGGTCTCGAGGGTCTAAAGTCAAGGCTATCAGCAGGACAGCCTTCCTTCTGGAGGCTCTAGAGAGAAATGCATTTCCTTACCTTTTCGAACTTCTAGAGATCACCCCTACTTGTTGGCTTGAGGTCTCCTTCCATTTTCAAACGCAGCAACGGCATCACCTAGACTGATGCTTCTACCGTCACATCTTTCCCTCTGACTCTCGCCCCCTCCTTCATTAACACAGACCCTTTGATTGTACTGGGGCCACCTGGACTATCCAGGCTATTCTCCTTGGATAGTAGAAATTTGGGGGATTGATGTATACATACTGTAAAGAAAACTAAAAGGTTGGGGGAAGCAAAAAATCCTTACAAGATGAAGTTTTTTCCATACCATAACCATCGTCCATTTTTAACATTGCAGATCATGCCTTTAAATACCTAGTGGCAGTGAGGCGCCTGGGTGGCTCAGCTGTTAAGCGTCTGCCTTCGGCTCAGGTCATGATCCCAGGGTCCTGGGATCGAGCCCCGCATCGGGCTCCCTGCTCAGCGGGAAGCCTGCTTCTCCCTCTCCCTCTGCCTGCCTCTCTGCCTACCTGTGCTCTCTCTGTCAAATAAGTAAATAAAATCTTTTAAAAATAAAAATAAATAAATACTTAGTGGCAGAATCACTGTGCAGGAAGATGGGGAGCAACAGAGATGCTGTTCAGAGCCAAACTTCGATGCCATCAGAAGACAAAGGGGACATGAGGACCAAAAGGGCCAAGTCTCTTGGGAAAAACTGATATATTCCTAGAAATACAGATTCAGGTCCTTCTCAGTGAATGATAACAGTGTTATCTGTAAGTCAATTTGCAGCAAGAAAAATCAGACTGCTTTGTAAGAGATGGTAAAAGTCACGGCAAAACAAACAAACAAACAAAAAACCCCAAAACAAAAACAACTACTTATTCTAGCCAGAAACTAACATGAAAAACGTGTGGCCAATGCTGAAGGAATCTGGTACTGTCAGAGACTTGACAAATTGGATTCTTTGTAAGTGATGCACTGTCCAGGCTCCGTTCCTGCTATCAGCTCCCTTCCAAATCATCACTGCATGAAACATCTGTTTTCTGCAGGATTAGCCCAATTCCACAGAAATATGCCATAACCAAAGGCAAGAGAGAGATGGTAAAAAACCAATTCTCATACTATTTACAGGAAAGAATTCAGATAAAACCTAGTCTGATTCACAAGAAATGTTTCCAATCACCCTTAACTGGATGTCCCTTGGGAAATCTGTATTTCCCTGGTATCGGGGATGCGATGGTAGGACTGCATGCCTCTAGTTCTATCCCACTGCTCTGGTAATGATACAGTGATGTCAACCTTAGATCAGTGAGATCGCAAAGCTTATGCCAAATGCCAAACATAACCCAGACATCCATGTCAAATCCCCTTACCATGAGTAACAAAACAATCAAAATATTATAAACAAAACATGTCCAGAACCCAGCCAATGACAAACACATTTTAAGAAATATTGGATACAGGGCGCCTGGGTGGCTCAGTTGGTTAAGCGACTGCCTTCGGCTCAGGTCATGATCCTGGAGTCCCGGGATCGAGTCCCGCATGGGGCTCCCTG